TTATTCTGGGGCGCTGCAGGGCACTCTGCAATGACGGCTTAGAATAACTTGGAATGTTCAGAATAACTTGGAGGAAGAGTTTTAGATGGAAACCGGTGGAAAATTTGTTTTGGTTCATGGCCTCCGAGAATAGATTCATTGTAGTGGATACAACGGCTCTGTTCCTGGAAAAGCTGTTTCTAAGTCAGGTCAACATTTAAGTGCACTGAGAGGGAGCATGACTTAAAGGCAGCCCATGTGTGAGGGGTCCTTCTGTCGCCTCGGGAACCACCCCAGGCTGCGGCGCCGTGTGTGGGGAGCACAGTCCCCCTGCACCACCCTAGGGCACCAGGCTCTGCCCGGCTCACAGGAAACCGAGTGACCTCTCTGACTGCTTCGCAGATGTTATCTGGAAACAGGCCTGTTTGTCAGGAAGCTCTGCGTCCCCCTCCGCAGCAGAACTTTCATTTGCGTGCTCCCTCCGTGGCGCTGCGAGGCTTCTTTCCTTGCCTTTGTTCAGCACCTCCGACTGGTGGGTGCCCAAGCGCGGTCGAAGGTTGGCCGTGGCTCCCTGTCGCACGGTGCTGTGTGGGAGGAAGGAAGCGTGTGCGGTTACAACACGGGAGGCGTTGTGACTTCTCTGCTCTGCTGCTCTCCAGGGGCGGTTTCCAAATCACATTTTTCCTTTCGGTTCTCAGTTGTTGGAGCAGTAAGTAACCTGTGCACATGCTTGCTTGCTTCTTGAAGACTAAACTATCAAGATTGTTGGTATAGAACGGATGTATACACTTTGAGTTTGCATGTACATTAAGAATCATCTAACCCTGGCTTATGGGGCTCATGTGGGTTGAGTGCCAGCCCGTGAACCAAAGGGTTCAGTTCCCAGTCAGGGCACGTGCCTGGGTTGCAGGCCAGGTCCCTGGTTGGGGCCGTGCGAGCGGCAACCGATAGGTGTTTCTTTCACACATCAGTGTTTCTCTCCCTCCCTTTCTCTCTCTCCCTTCCCCTCTCTCTGAAAATGACTCAATGAAATCTTTAGAAGAAGTCATTTAGTCTTGTCTCCCACACGAGGGAAGGATACCTTTTAGAACATTCTGGCCATATGTATGGGCCCTTGCCACTAAAGTCACGCATTCCTTTGGAAGACACTCAAGGGAGAAAGCCTTTGAACTTCTCCCTGTGTCTTTTCTCGGAATACTAGCAGAGAGTATTTGCCATGGTGAATTTATCAGCACCTTCAGGAGGCCAGAGACTGCGCACTGGACGACACGCTTCTGTCAGTGAGATCGGCTGGCGGCTGAAGACAGGACGGGCTCGGGAGGCGGGACAGTCACTGGGAAGTGGCGGGTGTGTCCGTTACCTCGATCGTGGTCATCATTTCATTTGCGGGCCTATTGTAAATCCTGTGCTGCACCCTGAATATATGCAGTGTGCATTTGTCCATTGTGCCTCAATAAAGTTGGAGGAAAGAAGACATCACTGGAACAACAAAAGTATGAGGGTTTCTTTATTTAATTTTTTAAATCCTCACCCAAGGACATGTTCATTGATTTGGGTGGGGAGAGGTTGGCTGAGAAAGAAACGTCAGTTGGTTGTCTCCTGTGCGCACCCTGACCAGGAATCAAACCCCCAACCCTTCGGTGTTTAGGACGATGCCCCACCAACTGCGCCACCCAGCCAGGGCAAAAGTTTGAGGATTTTAAAGTCCAAGAAAACCTATATTTGTATCCTGGTTCTGCCATTTTCACACTGACAAGAAATTAGTCTCAGAGAGGTTAAATAATTTACCCAAGTTAATTTGGATGACCTACAAATTACTTTGTTTTCTTGTCTTTTTTATTAAGATTTTATTTATTTATTTTAAAGGGAGGGAAAGGTAGGAGAAAAGAGAGGGAGAGAAACATTGGTGTGTCAGAAAAACATCCATCAGTTGCCTCTCACACAAGCCCCAGACAGGGACCAGGCCCACAGCCCAGGAATGTGCCCTGAGCAGGAATCAAACTGGCAGCCTTTGGCTTTGTGGGACAATGTCTTCACCCAACTGAGCCACGCAGTCAGAGCTTAACTTCATTTTCTTCATCGTAATGTAGGTCTAATTAATGTTCAAGTCATACAGTTATGTTGAAGGTGAGAGATCGGAGTGCCTGGCACATATCGAGCAGTCGGGAAACTGCTGCTACAGTAATTATCATCATTATTACTGCACATTCATTGAGCAGATATGTGTCGAACACCCAGCTGCATCTCCATATGCCAGGCACTGTCCCGATAAACCGGTGACTAAGAGAAACAAGTTCATTGCTCTCATGAAGCTTCTGCTTTGGCAGATGAGACAGGCAGTGAGGAACAGGGCTTTCAGTGCGTAGTGCAGCAGCGGGCACGAAGCAGGGTGGAGGCGACAGAGCGGGGCGGGGGGAGGGGGGCAGGTAGCTCATTTAGACACGGTTCCGGAGAAGCTGGAGGATCTGCCATCCGGCGGTGGGGGGCTGGAAGGAAAATCCAGCCGAGGACTGGTACGTGGACGGGCAGAGGACGTCTCATCTCCTGAAGGAAAGAGGACCCAAGTGCCTGGAGCGTGGTGAGCAAGGAGGAGAGGGGCAGGGGACGAGGTCCACGCAGGCCCCGGTAAGGAGCTCGGATGTTCCTGTGTGTGTACACCGGAGGTCCGTAGAGCGTTTTATCAGAGCAGCAAGATGGATGGATTGATGTTTTAAAAAGACACCGGGCTGCTGGCGGGAGGTGAGGAGACAAGTGGGCAGGCTGTGCGGATCGTTGAGTCAGGAGCCGATGGAGGCTTGCAGGTCACATGGCCTTGAAGGTGGCAAGACTTGAAGACAGATTCCGTGTGGAGAGAGGGAGTGAGGAGGAGGGCCCTGGGGACGACTGCTAAGCCTCCGTCCTGAGTAACTGGACAGGTTGGGGGGGGGGCAGAAACCCGTTTCTGTTCTCGGAGACGGGCGAGACTGCAGGGTTGAGGGGGTGCTGCTTGGGCGTCGGGGTATCGTTAGGTCTGAGATAGCAGTAAGACACGCACATTTTAAAGCCATTTTAGCCGCCATTCCTGTATTTCCCATATTCATACTTGTTCCCTTCTGTTGTTGCAAACTTTATTTCCTCTCATCGCACCTAAACTTTGAAAATCAGAATCTTTGCATCTAAAGTTGTGCTGTGAGTCTTCCCGGCATTAAAATGCGCTGTTGTGAGTTTGCTTGTGTGAGCACGAACACTCATCCCGTGTTCTGACCTCACCAGGGACTTGTTTCACAGAATCCAGAGAAACTGTTACTTCATCCGTCCTGTGCTAATTTGGCATCAACGTAAAGAATTAACGAACACAAAAGCTCTCCCTTTGCAAGGGTTTTAAATTCCTTTTTTGAGAGGTTCTGCTCTATTTACTAAAGATTTTTAGGGTTTCCCTGGACCCTTCAGTATTTACTCATCTTGGGTTTTTGTTGTTGTTTTTAGAAAGGGGTGGGGAAGGAGAAAAAGAGGGAACGAAACATAGATGAGAGAGAGAGACATCAATCGGTCTGGTCTGTGCCCCAGCTGGGGGATCAAACCTGCAACCTAGGCAGGTGCCCTGACTGGGACTCAGACCCACGACCTTTGGCTTTGCAGGCGGCGCCCAAGCAACTGATCCACACTGGTCAGGGCTTGTATTTGGGGCCTATTTGGTGTCTTTCTGGCATGGACGTCGCATACCTGTTTCACCCCGTCTGCTGTTTTCCCCCTGGAAGTCGGGCACCTTTGGTGTGTTAAGATCGCCCTCATGCAGACCCGCCTCTCAGCTGCAGTCTGTTTTCTTCCTTTGGGTTGGTGGTTGACAGGAAAAAGACACTCTTAAGAGATCGCATTCAGAACAGAGAAGGAAAGAAAATAAAAGCAGGTACAGGAAATGAGGTTTTAGTGATCTTTGCTCCTTCTGTCCTGAAAGCCCACAGACCCAGTGCCACGTGCTCCAGCCTGGGCACGTGCGGAATTCCCTGGCGTGGGTTTCTTTCATGTCAGTCATCTGTTGTTGCGTAATCATCACCCCAAAACCAGCAGCTTAAAACGCCAGCTGTTCATTACCTCATACGGTTTCCGAGGATAGGAATCCAGCAGTGGCTTCCTGGGGTGATGTGGGCTCACGCTTTGGCCTTGAACGTAAGGGCCATCGAGCTGTCAGCCAGGGCTGCAGCCGCCTGAAGATCCAACAGGGTTTGGAACTCCTGTGTCGGATGGTTGGTTCACATGCTGGTGGCAGGAGGCCCGTGTTTCTTTCCTCACCACAGAGGCCTCCCTCCGGGGCTGCCCGAGGGTCCCGTGCCTTCTCCAGAGGCAGCGGTTGGGGGAGGGGCAGGGGCGTCTGTTTCACTACTGACTCCAGGGTTTCGTTCGCTGTTTCTGTCAGAGGTTCCCAAGATGCCTTGCTGATAGTCATTTCTCAGATGAGAAATGTGCCGCGTGTATCAAAGTTACATCCTGCTGTTCTGGTTCTGTGCCTTTCTGCTTACAGAATAATTTCCATTTTAATACCGAACCACAGCATTGAGATTCAGGTGTCTTTTGTACACATTTTTACTGGCATTTCAACTCAACACTCGCGTGACTGGCAGTGCAGTAACTCAGTGGAGTGCCGGCCGTGTGAGCACCTACGGAGCCCGAGAAAGCTGGCCCTACACAGGGCCGCAGCTGCTGCCGGGCGGGCGTCTGCCATCGGGGCCTCCTGACTCAGGCCGGTTAGAACATGGAAAAAATATTTCTAGGAACTGGAGAAGTGTGACGGTTTTCTCCCCCAGTCGTGGGAAGTACAATAGATCGAAGTCTGCTGGCGAGTTTCTTTCCTCCTGGTTTTAAAAGCCTGGAACTTGACAAAGTCATAATCTGCTGGGGAAGGAGATCCGAGTGGGTGACTTATAACGAGGATGAATATGCAGGTTATTTCCAAAAGATGACTTTTCTGTTTCAGAAATATAAACAAGGAAAACTCTTCTGTGACTTTATTTACTCAACTTTTTCTTCTTTCTTTTTTGTTTAAGGAATAAAGATCACTGTAAACCCAGAATCAAAGGCAGTCTTGGCTGGACAGTTTGTGAAACTCTGTTGCCGGGCAACCGGACATCCTTTTGTACAATATCAGTGGTTCAAAATGAATAAGGAGGTAATTTTTTAAATGCCTTTCAGTTCCCCTGTCATAAGAAGCTAGAATGATGAAAGAAGTATACTTGGTTGAGGAGTCCATCCTCTTACAGAATTTCGCACGTGAGAAAATCGGACTTGAGGGGAAATGGCTTGTTCATGCACTAACAACTGATCAGGTCAGAACAGAAATTAGTAGCTACACCTGCTTCCTGGGCACTGTCCACTCCACCGTGGTGCTTGTCACATCACATGGCCGCTCAGCTCAGAAATGCTGGCATTGTGGATTCTTCAGATACCAGCGACTGAACAGTTTTAGAGACAGGACAGATGCTTTTGTTGTTTGTGAGCTTTGGTAAGGTACACAGGAGAGAATTTATTAACTCTCTGGTTAATGGATTTGTAGAAGACTGCAAGACTTCAGCCCTACATTACTCAAAATGTTATTTGTGTTTTAAGTAACAAATATTTTAGACTTGGAAACAAGATGCCCTTTTCACAACTCCAAGCAATCATGCATTTTGCATGGCACATTTCGTGTAAGGCATGCTTTGATGAGTTATTTACTGATACTCTCTTACTATTTCCCAGATTCCAAATGGAAATGCATCCGAACTTATTTTTAACACAGTGCATGTGAAGGATGCAGGCTTTTATGTCTGTCGAGTCAATAATAACTGCACCTTTGAATTCAGCCAGTGGTCGCAGCTGGATGTTTGCGATATCACAGAATTAAGAGAAAGCTTCCAGGGTAAGTAAGTTGAATATTAGGAAGGGAATTACCTTATTTCAGTTGTTTACTTTTAAATAAATTCAAGTATCAAAATATTACCGAAAGCTCATGTCTACTAGACCCAGTATAAGGTCACCAGTTGTTAAGATTTTATCCTGTGTGCTTTGAATCCCTGCTGTATGGAGAAATGTGTGTGTGTGTGTGTGTGTGTGTGTGTGTGTACACACACACACACACACACACGCCTTTGTATGACACAGCACCCATCTCAGTCTGGCCCTGCTGCTGACTTTTTCCACCCTTCCTGCTTTCATGGAGTTGAATGATGTCTGTGGTTTTGGAGGAGGAAAAAAAAAATCTAATACAGTCCTGCTCACTTTTTAGTTTCCTTCCACACTGTACATTTTCCTCTGAAACTACTATATTACTCCTAAAAAATTGCGTTGTGGAGTAAAATTTTAGAAGAGATACTGACCTGAAAGGGTATAAAGTGTATCATTTGCTACAAAAAAGCATTTCATCAAACTGTTCTTTCGCTCTTTGTCATTCACCTTTTTTAGTCCAATAACTAGTACTGATCAAGAAAAAACCAGTCTCCTCTAAAGGTGGACAGCAGACCCCCTCTTTTATTCACACACACCGTGAAGACCGAATCCTTTGTCGTTTCTGCCAGACAAAAAGAACAGGAGAGAAATGGGCTTTGTGTTTCTAGTCTGTCTTATATTCTTCCCTCCACACCTTAATAAACAAACCATCTATAAAAATAGTAATGGTTAGTTGAGTTATTTATATATTTGTTGGATATTTCTGTGCATGTAATGAAATTTGGTATGTTTATACCTGGAACTTTACTCATTCAACAAATATTATTAAGATTTTATTTATTTATTTATTTATTTATTTATTTATTTATTTTCAGAGACGGGAAGGGAGGGAGAAAGAGAAGGAGAGAAGCATCAGTGTGTGGTTGCCTCTCATGTGCCCCCTATTGGGGACCTGGCCTGCAACGCAGGCATGTGCCGTGACTGGGAATCGAACTGGTGACCCTTTGGTTCTCAAGCTCATGCTCAATCCACTGAGCTACCCCAGCCGGGATTCAACAAATACTATTGATCACCTGCAATTTGTGAGACAGAGTCTCCTGTGGGAGACCTGGTAATGCATAACATTCCTTTGTTCTCCAGGAACTTGAGTAACAGTGAGTATTCAGTAAGGAATGCTGTACGATACCTGCCTTGGAAAGAAGTGCTAGTGACAATCTGTGCAGATTTATTCAGTGCTGATAACAAAACTCCTTATTTTAATAAATCAAGTTAAAGCAGAACGTAGAGCTTTCTGTGTTGAACAGGAGTTTCAAGATATTCGCCCTCAACAGAAAGACTCTGCAGCCAGGCACGTGTGGAAACCACTTGAACTGTGTTCCCCTCTTGCATGTTCCGTGCGTACTCCCACCTTGAAAGCACTAAGTCCTGCGGTGACGGATCTGCTTAACTTTGGTTCACCCAGACTTGTCTAAACTTCCTGGTCCACAGCATTCTTTTATCCACAGACCATTTCTTAGTATTTCTAGAAATGCCATTGTTTTATGAAACAGTTTGAGAGATGCTATTAAAGATTGTAGAAAACGGCCCTGGTTGGTATGGCTCAATGGATTGAGTGCTGGCCTGTGAACCAAAGAGTCACCAGTTCCATTCCCAGTTGGGGCACGTGCCTGGGTTGCAGGGCCAGGTTCCCAGTAGGGAGTGTAAAAGAGGCAACCACACATTGGTGTTTCTCTCCTTCTCTTTCTCCCTCCCTTCCCCTCTCTAAAAAATAAATAAAGTCTTTTTTAAAAAAAGATTATAAAAAATGAAGGATGAACATGAAAACACTTTTTTTTTAATTACAAAAAAGCTGGCTGGTGTAGTTCAGTGGATTGAGTGCGGGCCTGCAAACCAAACAACCGAGGTTCGATTCCCAGTCAGGGCACATGCCTGGGTTGCAGGCCAGTTCCCAGCAGGGGGCGCATGAGAGGCAACCACACGCTGATGTTTCTCTCCCTCTCTCCTTTCCTTCCCCTCTAAAAATAAATAAATATTTAAATAAATTTAAAAATAAAAGGAAATCTTTTAAAAAATTACAGGGGGAAATTTTATTTTTTTTAACTTAGAGATTTTATTTATGTTTAATAATATTTTTCTTTTAATTTAAGGAAGTTTGGATGCCATCTCTGAATCTAGGTTGCAAATATGCGTTGAACCGAGGTCCCAAAAGCTGCTGCCGGGCAGCACACTGGTCCTACAGTGCGTTGCTGTCGGAAGCCCTATCCCTCAGTACCAGTGGTTCCGAAACGAGTCCCTTTTAGCACACGAGACAAAGAAGATGTACATGGTAGGAAGCTTGTTTCCAGGTGGTTTTTTTGTGCTAATGTGTGAGATAGTGTCATTGAAAATTAAGGTTAACATTAATAAACCCATTTGTCGGTGGTGTTCTCATGTTTTCAGTATTTTTGTTTCGGGTGCCTGTGTTTTAACATTAATTGATTTATTTGCAGAAGTGCTAGGAAACAACCCCAGCCTACACCTAAGGGTTTATACTGAAATGTCAAATTGTAGTATTGCACCAAACTCACCATTATTGGGTTCTTTGTGTCATTTGCTTAAACTAGTACTTAACCCAGGGAATGGAAATAATAAGACTGTCTGTAAAGCCTTCTGCAATTTTGTTTTGTAGGGTTTTTTTTAAATACAAAATAAGTTTTTATCCAAGCCAATTTAAACTGAAATTGAAGAGGAAATATGTGTATATTTTAATATTGATACAGGTACCTTATGTGGATTTGGAACATCAAGGAACCTACTGGTGTCGTGTATATAATGACCGAGACAGTCAAGATAGCAAGAAGGCAGAAATCATCGTAGGTAAGCAGTGTTACTCAGTGTTCTGACAAATGGAGTGTAACAGAAGCTATAAAAAGTTACACATTTAAGCAACAGAAATGCTTCTCCTTGTTACCCCATTCTATTTAATAGTGCGTTAAGTGTCAGGAGTTACATTGTCTATATAGAAATCAGAGAGAATACGTACTAAAATTCATAATCTAGGTTTATATACCATAACAAAAAAGTTTATTTACATCTTTTTATTATGTTTGAATTTTATAGTTTATTTATTTCAGATTTTATTTATTTTTAAGAGAAGGGAACAGGAAGAAGAGGAGAGAAATATCAATGTGTGAGAGAAACATTGATCTCAGCTCTTGCACATGCCCCCAACCAGGGACCTGCCCGCAGCCTAGTCGAACCAGCAACCTTTCACAGGTCAGGAATCAAACCTGCGACCTTTCACTTGGCAGGATATCACTCAGCCAGCAGAGTCATGCCGGTCAGGGCTTAGAGTTTATTTTAAACACTTTTGGCAAAAATTTATTAAAACTTTAATTATAAAGAACTTGAGCCCTGGCTGGTGTAGCTCAGTGGACTGAGCATGGGCCTGTGAAGCAACGGGTCGCTGGTTCGATTCCCAGTCAGGGCACATGCCTGGGTTGTGGGCCAGGCCCCCAGTAGGGGACACATGAGAGGCAACCACACATTGATGTTTCTCTCCCAGAGAAGGGAGAGATGTTTCACTCTTTCTCCTTCTCTTCCCCTCTCTCTAAAAATAAATAAATAAAATGTTTAAAGAAAAACAAAACTTGATTTTGTGGAGAAGATTTTTAATAAAACATTTTTTAAAAAACACATATGATGGAAAGAATAATGACTAATCAACCGTCCCCCTTATGAAGTACATAACTTGGGAATATATTCTATTTAAGATGAATGCATTTATAGTTAGATTTTTAATAGCAGGAGATGTTGATGCCTGTGTTGGTTTGCCACCATATTTCTGTGATGTTTATCTCTGTTTGCTTGACGGCTGCCCTTCCTAAGATCGTGAATTACAGTGTGTTCACATTTGTTTTCTCTGGAACAAGGAAGAGCGGATGAGGCAGTGGAGTGCACTGAAGGTAGTGTGGTCCTTCGGTCTGAATCCACGAACCCTGCATGCTGGCTCTCTCGGGACTGCCGCGGCACTCCGGCCCGCCGAGTGCAGGGATGGGGAAAATACTAGCTACCAGAAATCGTTTCAACCGAGGACGTTGTGTCTGAGTCCTGGACGGTTTATGAATCACCACAGACATTTTTAAACTGACCTACTGTTCAAATAACTGATTTTCAATTGATTTTTCTACTGTATATAAGAATAAAATTCCAGGATAACAGATTATGAAGAGTGAACATTTATAATCACTTCTTCATGCTAACTTTTATCATTACAAAATTTGTGGAAAAAAAGGTGGCTAAACTCTCATAGAAACTTTTTCAGATTATTTTGTTCTTCGGCCCTGACAATATGCCCCTCAATGCAAACATAGTTTCTGTGAAAGTATTGGGACAGATTTTTGTTTAACAGATGTTTTATCCAATGTTAAGTATTATACTTTAATATAAAACCGATAAGATCCATTTTTAAAGCTCGAAGTCTATAGATTAATCTACCCTGTCACCTTTACCGTAACATACAAAGAGAATTGAAAATCTATTTCAACATAAGTTTCTAATTTGTTTTAACTAACCAAAGCATTGTACATAAGTTGCAATGAGTAAATTTTAAAACTTAAATTTCCTTAGTATAATATCACATTGTTTTACAAAATTAGGTCTGTGGGTAGCAAAGTATTTTTTCAATTTCTGCCTCTTTTAACTATAATATAACCTTAAGTTCTACTTGGGTAGAGAAAGAAAATAATGTTAAATCTTGCATCTCCTGGTTTTCTTGTCCTGTGGTCAGTCCTGGTCTCAGTCCTGTGGTCTTGGGCCCTGCATGGGGGAATGCTATGTGAAGCAGTCCTAACCAACTCCTCTTTCTTTTCTTACTCCCTTTTTGCCTAATTGCATGACTTTTAAAACTTCCTAAGATTGGAGACCTCCGAGAATGCATGAGGAAAACGAGGAGTAAAGCGAGCACTGCTCTTTGGTCTGGCTTCAGAGCGATGCCTGTGAATTACCACCTCGCTGTGATGCTTCCCTGTCTGCAAGGGTCTGCCTGTCGTTTTTGCAATAATAAACACACAATCAAATCATGATTTTCAAAGAAATCTGTTCAGAACACTTAGAGATGAAAGTCCAACAATGAAACAACTCCAGAAATTCCAGATGAAAAAATTAGGTCCAGCTTTTCTTTCTAAAAATTCTGCGAAGTTGAGACTCTCATCTTCGGCGGGCTGGTATCATGAGCAGTGTCCTAATGTCATGTCTTTCTTATCCACGGGGCGTAATGGCACCTGTTTAGTTTTCAGTATTTTGCTGGAGGTGTTTGATCAGGACGGGTGGGGAGGCACAGGTGCAGTTCAGGGGATTTGTTAGGGTAGTAACACTATTCTGTGCGACCACTGTAATGGTGCGTACAGGTACACAAGATTTTTAAAAATCGTTCAGTAGCAGGTCAGAGGAGGGTAGCTCCCAGGTTGGAATGCAAAACAGGACAGGAGAATCCCAACTGACTGCAAGTGTGTAAAGCAGCCCCACCAAAGAGAGGAAGGAAGAACTAGGCACTGGCCTGAGTAATGGGAAATGAGAGGGGTCTGCACGATAAAAGGCAAAAGAAAACTGTACATAGCCCTGCGCTCCAGCCAGTGCTACTCCTGAGTTGATTTTACAGCACATGTAAGAATAAGTTCTACCTAAGATCTGATGACTAGAACAGCATTTATAACTTACTAACATTTATCTCCATACAATTTGTGCAGAAGAAAGGCGGCTGCCATGTCAGACGTGCTTAGATGATGCCCTTTAGCCAGGAGGTTCAGCTTAACAACTCTGAGTCCACCGTGCCTCCAGAAACACGCCGCACAAGTCCAGCCCTGAGCAGGACATCACAGGCTCCACCTGAGAGACGGCCCACACAGTCCCTCATCAGTAATTCCCAAAGCTGTCAAGGTCACCCAGAGCAAGGGACATGTGAAGAACTGTCATGACAAAGAGGCGTCTGAGGTGCCATAAGCAAATGTAGTGTGTCCTGAAAGGGACCTTGAAACAACAAGAGCATTAATGGTGTGACAGACAAACCTTCCTAACATACGATGGTAAACATAACAGGGAAACTGGCTGAGGGTGTTTCCATGGACTCTGCACCGTCTTCACAGCGGTTCTGTACATCTCAGCCTGTTCTAAAATTTAAAAGATGATAAAGAAGGGAAAGATCACTTGTTAAAAGATCAGATTGTTAATTAGTTTCAAAAAGTTTTTGATTGAGGACACAGACAGACCTATATCTTCACTGTTTATGTTCCATAATCGTCCAGAATCTCCCTAAAACTTTGAACAAGTTATGAACGAGTCTGTTTAGCTTTTTGCCACTCAATGAAAGTAATAATAGCTTAGGTTAGAAGTCCTACCTACCCGATATCCACAACAGTACTCTTTCCTCTTCTGTTTTGCATGGCTTCTCATGTCATATATTTGAAAATTTTAAACTGATTAAACATTCTAACGTGGTGTAATAGCTCAAAACCTTCTCTGATTAGTCTTACTATTTGTGCTAAATAGGCAGTTAAATTATTCAAAGCTAATGTGTTTTATTTCATTTCAGATGAATTACATCATCTTGGGCATCCTGGTGAGTAATATAGCAAAACATTAGATTTTTAAGTTATCGACTATAATAATTTAAAGATACTGTACATATCTTTTGTTATAGCAGTACTGGTTACAGTAGTGGTAACTTTTTCTTTATTTAAACAATATTGTAATTTAGGGTTGAAATAAGCACTTACATGAAGTGCAAAATACTCAAAATATTCTAGATCATAAGACTGTATGAGGATAGAAAAGTATACGGAGGCTACACAAAACATGAATGTAGTTTTTATCTTTGTGAGTGACTCTGGACCATAAAAAGGCAGTTAATGGGGGAAGTGCATGATTTTTTTTATTTGAAAGACAAGAAGCAGTCTTCAAAAGAGTGACAGGGTAACAATTGGAGACTTGCCAGACCCTGGGGACCTTGCTCAGAGTTGTTCATTCATAGAATATACCTGAAGTGGTTGGACAGGGTGTCTTCATCTGAAGTAAAAGGTGTGTTAATGCAAATACCTTGCATTATATATATAAGTAGCTGGTCAGTAACCATTAAGAAACTTTCTGTTGGCGAGAGTATTCATCATTCTGTAGCCACTTTTAATCAGAACACATTTCTGAACAAGTTCAGCTTATGAGAAAGCCTTAGCTGGGGTGGAAGGCCGAGTGACAGCGAGGACCCTGTAAGGACAGAGGACATCCCCGGGTTGTGGGCGTTCCGAGAGACGGTGATGGAGCAGGACTGGGCTAAGAAGGCAGTCCTGTCACTTCATGTTTTAGAGATTTCATTCATTCCCTGGTATGTTACAGTTCAGCATTTTAGCACCATAACTAGTTTTCTTAGTTTCATGCCCATCTTTTTCTTTATTTTTTAAATCACTTATTATTTTTCAATCACAGTTGACATCCAATGTTATGTTAGTTTCTGGTGTACAGCCCAGTGGCTAGACACTATATAACTTACAGTCATCCCAATAAATTTCATACACACCTGACACGATACGTAGTTATTTGAATATCACTGACTTTATTCTCAATGTCGTACTTTATACCCCGTGATTATTCTGTAACAACAAATTTGTTCCTTCACCGTGTTCACCCAACCCACCAAACCCCCCCGCCAGTCTACCACTGCCAACACGTTTCCTCTGTCTCTGGGTCTGCTTCTGTTCTGTGTATTTATTAATTTTGTTTTTTAGATTTAGTTGTTGATAGGTACGTATTTATTACCATTTTATTATTCATATTTTTTATCTTTTCTTTCTTCTTCTTAAAGGCCCTTTAACATTTCATGTAGTACTACTTTGATGGTGATGAACTCCCTTAGCTTTGTCTTGTCTGGGGAGCTCTTTATCTGTCCTTTGACTCTAAATGATAGCCCTGCTGGATAGAGTAACCTTGGATGTAGGTCCTTGCTTTTTATCAACAGTTCTTGGCAGTCGCTTCTGGCCTGCAAAGTTTCTGTTGAGAAATCAGCTGACAGTCTCATGGGGGCTCCCATATAGGTAACTAATTGCTATTCTTGTGCTGCTTTTAAGATTCTCTCTTTGTCTTTAACCTTTGGCATTTTAATTATGATGTTTCTCAGTATGGGCCTCTTTGGCTTCGTCTCTTTTGGGGACTCTCTGTGCTTCTGGACTTGCATGTCTATTTCCTTCACCAGGTTAGGGATGTTGTCGGTCATCAGTTTTTCAAATAGGTTTCAATTTCTTGCTCACTCTCTTCTCTCTGGCACCCCCGTGATGCAGGTGTTGGTGTGCTAGAAGTTGTCTCAGAGGCTCCTTACACTGTCTTCATGGTTTTAGATTCTTTTTTTCTTTTTCCTTTTCTCTTTGGATGTTTTTTGCTTCCTAGTATTCCAAATCACCAATTTGATTCTCGGCTTCATCTGCTGTACTGTTGATTCCCTGTAAGTTATTCTTCATTTCTGTTAGTGTATCCTTCATTTCTTACTGGTCTTTTTTATGGTTTCTTTGTACTTTTTCATGCTGTTGAAGTTCTCACGAAGTTCCTTGAGCATCCTTATAACCATTATTTTGAACTCTGTATCTAGTAGTTTGATTGCCTCTGTTTTATTTAGTTCTTTTTCTGGAGATTTTTCCTGCTCTTTTACTTAGGATCTGTTTCTTTATTTCATGCTCAGATTTTTTAAATAAACACCTATTGTGAGTGATGATCGGGCTGTGCTATTTACATATAAGCAAATTCTACAAACCAGAAGGCCACTGGTTTGGGGTAAACTGAATTCATGGTCTTTATAAGCCCCCTTTCTATAATTTGGTTTATAGATATCCAGAATAAACCCTTTGTTCTCCCTATTACTCACGTATTTATAAAAGCTGTGTGTCATTTTAGCCCCACCATCCCAGAGCTCAGGGGACACCACAGGGAGACATTCAAACATCTAAACCCACCGGGTATCAGAGAACCACCCCCTCTTGGTCTGGTTTGAATCCTTTCCCCTTAAATCAGCCTGTTATTTCTTGCTCTTCAGTGAACACTGTAAAAAGTTATTTCAGGAAAACTTTTGCAAACAACCACCACTGAATTTCTGAAATTTTCTTGGCCTCCTCTTTCATTATATCCTTACTCTTCAGTATTTGGTGACACCAAAAAATTTGAGTTTAAAAAAAAGGACATTTAAAAAACTTTTCATAGACTACAGTAGCATATGAATGGTTACAAATGCCAAAGAAAAGTTACCCTGTCTATAGTAGTAGACAGATGACTGACTGAACTCCATCTTCCCCTGTATCTCTTTCCATGTGGTCCTCAGCGTGAGAGATACTTCATTTTATGGAGAGTCGATGGCAGAGAGCGTGGGCCATGGAATGAGGTTTCCTGGCTCGATAACTCTGAACAAGTGACTTAATCTCTCTCCACCTTAGATCCCTTATCTGTATAATGGAGGTAGTAATTGTGTATGCCTGGTAAAGTTATGTTTATTTTAGTCGGTTATACTGAAAGCATCCATAACTGCACCAGGCAAGCATTCAGTGAATGTTAAGCCCTCTGCTGCTGATTCCCAGCACCCACTGTTTTCAGACTGTATTCCTGCCCAGCCCATTGAAGATTACGACCCCCACTATGGCCGTCCATTACCAAAGGCATACCCCGGCTCCACTGCCAAGGCCGTCCACCCCGGTGTGTGTTGTTGTCAAGGGTCTGGAAATCTTTCCCTGGCCGGGTGGCTCAGTTAGTTGGATCACTGTCCCATACACCAAAAGGTTGCGGGTTCAATGCCTGGTCAGGGCACATGTGGAAAGCAACCAGTTAGTGTTTTACATCAGTGTTTCTCTCTCTCTCTTTCTCCTCCCTTTTTCTCTAAAATCAATAACCATGTCTTCAAGTGAGAACTAAAGAAAAAAGAATCCGTAAATCTTAAAATTGTAAGTTAGCTATTAGAAATCGTATTCTGTCTTTGAGTGTCACCGATGGTATTTATTGTAACCCTGAAGATACTCATGTCATGGATAATAACACCTTATATCTTTGCATTTTTATTTTCTTATAGATAATAAAGAGCAAACAGCTGAACAACCTTTGGGTAAGTAGAGCTTTAAAATGCCTGATCAAAATATAAATACTATATATATATATGTTTTATGGTGAGCATAAAGGGATAGCAGGCATTTTAACTTGACCACATTTATAAGTACCTGAATGACTTTGAGACCACATGGTTAATTTGGATATTTGTAAAGGAAATGATAGAACAGGATGGAATCAGTGTGTGGGGCCAAGTCAGCTTCTGGGGAGTGATTGGTTTGCTTTGATGGCCTGCGAACCGAGGGACGTGTGCGTCCCGGGCAGGTGAGTAACACCGTCTCGCCGTGGGGTTAAACTGGAAGAGCTCAGAGGGGCAGCAATGGCAACTCCACGTCTGGCAGTGAGCATAGGAGAGAGGGGCCTTCCAGGCAGAGGCAGCCCGCACCCCCGCTGCACTGTGACCGGGCTTGAGTCTGGGGCACTGTAAGCAGCGCGCTGTGCTCTGGAGCATAGAGAGAAGGAGGCCAGAGAAAGAGGGTGAGGCCAGAGCTTCAGAGCCCTGTTTCTCCCTGAGCCCCTGGAGGAAACGTCTCTGTGAAAGGCCCGTTTTGTGCCAGTGTGCACCCAGATGGGGTGCATGGTTGGAAGAATTGACAGACTGTTGCAGTGGTCTAGAGAAGAAACGAGAATCTAAACCAGGGTTACTCCTGAGAAGACAGTGGAGAAGAACAAATTCAGAAGACCTCTAGACTCTCGCCTGGACCACTGCGGGGGGTGGTAGCGCCCACTAAGCCAGAGAACACAGAATAAGCAGCAGGCTTCAGAGGACAGAGGACTGTCGGTTTGGGACCCAACCAGTTCGCAGTGTTCGTGTCACATCTGTGTGAAGATGTACAGCAGGCGGCTGTGTCCATGGAGCCAGAACTTTCTGGAGAGGCCTGGATTAGAGATACACGATGAGTGCCATTAGTGTAGGTACAGAAGTTACAGCCAGAGGGCAGCAAACACGAGATCGCTATAGGCCGTAGAGAAGAGGACACGAAACTGGCCCACCTTTTTGGGGGGTGGGGGACCATACAGTGTTTTTAACTACTATCATCAGCTGTCACTGATCAGATACCATATAAAAATTTAGATTTCTGGGTGCCTATGAAAAGAGTAGCTGTCCATTGTGGCTAAATAGTGGCTGCCTCTCTAAATTGGTGCATGTGCCCTGTTTTCCTGTTGTGAGCCTTTTGTCTGCTTCAGTCTGTCCCCTCTTCCTCCTCCCCTTCTTCTCCTCCCCTCCTTCCCCACGTGGTCTCACCACGTAGCTAAATATTCCAAACTGGAAGCTGTGGGGCTTGTTCAGGTTCAGACTCAGAACTGGCGGGGTGTCACGCTACATTATGGTGTTCCCAGACAGCCACAGGGCAGCCCGGATTCAGGGCCGGGGGTGGGGGGCACGCGGCCACTCTGCGTGAGAGAGGGGGACCCTGGCTCACTGGGGGCCGCCTTTTACTGCAGCTGGAGAGCAGGCAAGGACAGAGCGTGAATGGCTGTTTGCCAGACTGAGGATTTTGGACTTGATTTTGTAGGACACGGAGATGAAAAGATTTTATGCTGTGGCCAGTGTGGCTCAGCTGATTGGAGTGTCATTCTGTGAACCGAAAAGTCGCAGGTTACATTTCTGGTCGGGCACATACAGAAAGCAGCCAGTCCATGTTTCTCGCATGAAAATTTTTCTCCGTCTCCCCCTGCCCTCTCCTCTCTCTCAAATCAATTACCACGCCCGTGGGTGAGGATTTAAAAAAAGGCCTTATGTGTGAGACCAGCAAGCACCACATATTCAGCCAGTTAGAGCTGATGCTAATACTCGGTTTTTGATAGTCAAAGAATTTACTTACCAAATGCTTACATAGCACTGAATTTGTTCCAGACCCTAGTCCAAGTGCTCGTGAGGATTAGTTCACTTTAGATGAGATGAGTAACACACCGTTAGATGACTAGACATGGAATGAATGATGTAACATGTACCAAGTGTTAAAGAATACATTCCATCGAGCTTTGGAAAATGTCTGGGATCATGTAGTTAAATATCTTTCTGAAGTGGTTTTATTCCGTTGCTTAGTCAACTTGCCTCGTGCTTCCTTTTTCCGGTAGAGGGCTGTGTGCACGGAGCCGTGGGTGGCTCTGACAGTAAGTCTCTTTCTACAGAAGCTTTCTTCCCTTTGCATTATCACCTGAAAAGTGTCACAGGTGTTTACAGAGTTGCTATTTTAAAGTTTTCTTTCGTTCCTAACTCTTCTGAACTTCAGATTTTACTGTTTCGCCCTCTGCCACATCTCTAAAGTCTGGCCTTGCCTCTCCCTGTCTACCACTAATCTCCTGGGACGAGTCTTTGTCCTCTGCTACGCGCCCCTGCAGCCTGCGTCTCCGTGCTCAGTCTCCCCGCTCACCTGTCACTCAGCAACAGTTTTACAAGTAGATTGGACCAGGTAAGATTTATTTACTCACCATGTTTATTACCACTTATTTTAAGGAAATGCTCTACCCCCTTTTAAAAACTAGCTATTAAAATTATCATTAGGGAAAATATTGTGAGGTTATGGTCACTATAAATGCATACATGTAAATGCACACAGTTCTCCGATTATCGAACTCGTGCATTCTGTAAGCTGTTCTAAGTGTTCTTTCCAATCAGGAAACAAAACCAATGAATAAAGAATTGGCATTAGCAGGAACAGCCTAGCATGCATAGTTTGACAACTGATTTTTTCCCCAAAGACGCCAGTATTGTTTTTCCTATTACATACCTTTTCACTGTTTTCTGCCAATAAAACTTAAGTTTAGTATATGTTTTGGAGTTAAATTATCGTAATCCTCCACTAAAACACCCCAGTGATTTACGAACCCTTTATTACCTGAGTAACTTCAGGGCCCCCATGATTTGGGCCACGCTGACGTCAGCCAGAGACAACGCATTCCCCATCCCCACCCCGGGAAGCAGGGTGAGCTGAGTGCCTCACTGTGTTGAGGTCAGGTCTGAGTTCTCACAGGATCTGCGTGGTCTGCATTCTCGCGGGGTCGGCGGGGTCACAGAGGAAGGCACCGAAAGTTTCCTTTCTGGGGACTAGCCAGCTGGCAGTCTTACTGTGCAGTGAGTACTTTGGTCTAGGTTATTTAAGAAGAAACTTTTTTTAAAAAAGGAAATACAATGATGTTAAGTTTTATACTGCTTCCTGTTGAAATCCATCCTGAGTAGTTTCACCTTTTCAGTTGAACTAAAGGTAGTTTAGTAGAAAGAAGCTTTATGTCTGAATCCTTATGTGTCACATAAGTAGTCTCGATGATTGGCCCTTTCTTTTGGATAAAAGAAGAGATTGTCATGTGTATAGGACTTGAAGTGACTTAGGAGAAATGTGGCTTAAGTGTCACTTTATTGTTTTCTAAAATGTGCATACTCGTAAGAGTGGGTAGTTTGCAAGAAATCTCTGAAAGCTGTAAATGTAGAATAAAGACACCACAACATGACAGTAATAAAGCTTTTCACGAAGTGGGGTTTTTTGCCACATGAGAGTCACGTTCTTTGGTACCAGCTTTTCTCCAGACCTTGTTTAACACTGGACCCAGGTGTTCTGTGGAAAGAGAAGAAATTTCACCCGATTTTTTTATGACGTTTAATCAGCTTAATGATTTGAAGCCTCCAGAATTCTATGAAATATTGCAGACATCAAGTCAGCAATGTGAGTGTCTGTGCCTATTACGGTTTAAGAGTGGTGTTCATACCAATTTCTAAACACACCACTCAGCGCTGAGTGGCCGAGGTTGATGGCCTAGTCCAGGCCCGTGTTCAAAGAGGGTGGCATACAGGCCTGCACAGTGCCCCACGCTCTCATCACGCCATCTCCTCTGCTCCCTGGTGCCGTGCCATCCTCAGGAAACACATCTTAACAGGTTCCTGTATTCACGGCGTGGTCTCAGGTCTTGAACTTTTAACCACACCCAGACCAGGGAAGGTACGATTTTGAAGACCTCTTAAGCACTAAGCTATGTCCGGCCTTCCCCAGCTGTTCTCGGGCAAGCCATGTGCCCGATTAAGCTAGCTGGTACTTTTGAAGGCATGGGTGGGGATGTTTTTGTCTATTAAAAACAAAAAGTCTTTGTAGGAGAATACAACTTTGAACAAAGTCTCAGGGCACTAAGGTCAGAAAATAAGCCATTAAGGTGTTCATACAGAAGTCTTCAAACATCCCTAAAGTAGCTGCATCTCACCCGAATGGGAAATTTTTCTTTAAGCCGAGAACAGACAGTACATCCACTGAAAAAGCACAGACACAGTACTTGGTAAGCGGCCGCCTTGCTGTCCTTTTTGGTATTTCCCCTTCCTTGCTCGGATGTGAGCTCTTCCTGTTCCTCTTTTGGGCATTTCTTTGTAGCCTCTTCCTTTATCAGCAAAACAGAACCTAATTCATGGGAACCCAACTTCAAACATTTCTTATTTAAATTTGCTCTAAAAGTCTAGTTGAACATAATAATCTTTCCTTTTGTAATTCAGTACAAGTAGACTTCCGTATCAATGAACATTGTGCCTCATGTACAGACAGCTAATAGGGCCCTTTGCCTGGTTCTCGGAAGTGTCCATAAGTTCAGTTCCAGTTGTTGCTTTTGTCAACCTCTGTGGTCCTCAGATACTGGTTGACTATGTAAAGCAGGGGTGTCAGACTCATCCATGTTCACCGGGGCCACATCAGCCCCACGGTTGCCTTCAAAGGGCCAGTGTAGTTTTCAGACTGTGTACATGTAGCTGCTCCTTAACAGTGAAGTGAGAACTCAGGGCTGCGGCCGGGTAGAAACAAGGGGCCGGGCCGGGTAAAACAAGGTGGAGGGCTGGGTTCAGCCTGTGGGCCTGTGTTTGCTGCCTGTGCCATAAAGTGATCGTTCTAAGATGAAATTAAATAATAATGAAGTCGTATTTGTAGAGTGTACTTTCTATTTTAATGATTCCATTTCTGTAGGTCTTATTTTAATCTTTGTATCCTTCTTTAAACCCCTCCCTCCCCTTTTTCCACAGCAAAGGACAAGGTCGCTCTCTTGATAGGAAATATGAATTACTGGGAGCACCCCAAGCTTAAAGCTCCTTTGGTGGATGTGTACGAACTGACCAACCTGTTGAGACAGCTAGACTTCAAAGTCGTTTCCCTGCTGGACCTGACTGAATACGAAATGCGCAATGCCGTGGATGAATTTCTGCTCCTTTTAGACAAAGGAGTATATGGTGAGATATTTATAATTTTCATTTTAATAATTATCCACAATTTTTCATTGAACAAGTTCGGGTTAAGAGTTGAAAATCAGAGAAAGGTGCAGTAAACATATTGTTGAATTGGGGGAGGGCCAGGGAAAGCAGTAGATTTGGCCTTCATACTGTAGTTCCATATGAGTAACTAAGTAGCTTAATATATTTATATCCATGTTTCTTGTTTTGAAAACAACATCGTTCTTACTAGAATTCTGCCCAGTCTTAGGTGATTTTGCTTTTTATTGACAATGGGCACCACAGCACACAATGGCAACGTGGAAGATTGTGCCTGTGTCCATGTAAAATGCCACCGTCTTGCTGTGTGTGTGTGTGTGTGTGTGTGTGTGGAGTGTAAAAGGTTGTAACCCATGTGCATGCTGTGCTTCTTTCTCCTGACTATTGCATGGTGTTTACTGGTCTGTTAGTGGAAACTAGAATTTTGGTGAACAAGGCAGATGAAACTTTGTAAACCACACTTTTATGTATCTGCGGTTAATGGTGCACCTCTGCAGAAATTGTAACCGTGCATTTTTAATGGCTTCTCTCGGTCTGTCATTTAAATATGTTAGTTCTCCATATACAGTGATGATTTTCTAAAGAGACAGACGAGGCCATCAGTAGTAATTTTTTTGTAATTTATTTCTTTTCATGGAAGTCACCGTGGGTGTGGGAAGGCCGCTGGCGTGTCCCGGTGGCCGTGCCTGTCACGGTGGCACAGCAGCGTTTGATGGCCGAAAGGGGGCGTTTTCGGGATATTAGGGTGCCCATGACCAACAAAAAGCATCAGTTTGGCTTCTCGGTCTTTCAATTTTTTTTTTTTTTTGCATCAGTAACCCCTAAACTTAGCCTCGTTTGTAATCAGGCTGATGTGCTGCAGTGAGTGAGCTTGGCGGGATCGGTAACGGATCGTGAGGGAGAATTTTTACTAGAAGAAAAAGGTTTTTTCTATATTTAACACATTACTCTGAGATCGGGGAGAGTGTTAAACTCTAAATGAATTTTTCTTAAATAATAAGGATTACAATTACAACAAGAGTGAGTCAACAATATAAATACCTCAGCCTTTGGATTCACCCATTATGCTGACATAATGACATAATCTTGTTTATGGGCGTGAGGAGTGGTCAGTGTGAGTGAATTTGTTCCTTTTTCTTATGAAAACATGATAGAGTATACTATATAAATTTGCCTCCTTGGTAATTGGCTTATATTTCTAGCATAGAATAGGTGGTTGTTTGATTATTGTTATATATTATGTATCTCCTTTTTTAAAGTGTCCAGACAGCTTAAACAGGAAAAGGTTTCTAAAACTTCATTGAAAGCAGCAAAGTGCAGGAAAAAATGTAAACTAATTTAGGTTTGGGGCGGGTGGGGTGTTTCAGGAGTGAGGAGTGACCCCCGACCCACATCTCAGCGGGCGCTGCGTCACATCCCGGAGAGCCGTGCCCACCCAGACGGCCCCGGTGCGAGTGCCGTAGAGGCCCGAGGGCGCAGGCCTTTCTCCCGGACTGCGCCTTTCCCTCCAGCGCTGCCCCCAGCTGACGGGCAGTACCCGTCACGTGGGGGAGGCAGAGGCCTCCGCACAGGAGTCTCAGCATGAACAGCCTTAAATGTTCCCCTTTCATGTTCTGTTGCCCGTGGGTTCATAAAAGAAGCAAAAATAGCAACGTTAACAGAAAATACGTAACCCACTTTTAAGTGTACAAACATAAAACACACGATGGAAGAACAGAAACAGTGATTTACAGGACATGTCCTTGGAGACAGTGAGGGTGAAGGGTCCCAGTTATCACGTGTAGACGGCTGTGACGGGGCCGACTGCCGGGCCCACGGGCTGCTCACCCGGTGCCCTTCTGCGCTGGCCACTCGCTGCCACCCCGCTGTGTGACTTGGCGCAGACCCCGACAGGGCCGGTTGGACCACGCCTGTTCGCCCCAGAGGAACCGTGTGGGTCAGCGCAGCTGCCACCCGGTTACTCCACTTTTCTAAGCCAAAGAGGGTTTATAACATGGACAGGCTGATGGAACAAGGTTGTTTCAGAACAAAGCAGGTAAGATAATGATCTCTGCCTGACACACTTAGAAGTGCACAAGGTAGTGTAGCTATTAGTACTGTAATTCCTGAATTCAGGTTCCCCTTCAGACGGGGGGTTTGAACTAGGTAGCACTCTACTTGAGGCTTCGGTTAGAGACACCAGCTTTCATGTCTTGTATATATTACACTTGGGGAAAAAAGAAGGTTTTTTTTTTTAGTGGTAGTGTAGTGAAGCCAGGAAAAGCCAGCACACTGATGGGTTCTGTTTCCTGAGAGCCACGGTACCTGGAAAGCCAGCAGCAGCGTACGCAGAGCTGCTTGTCCATTGGTTAACCCGGTGCGCACACACATTCCGGTTCTCCAACTACTGGTTGTGTGAGTTGGATGAGCCCCTAAACTTCTCAGCGTCTCTGGTCTTGCATCTGTAAGGGGGGGGGGGGGGGTGGCAGTGTCACCAACCTTGCTGTGAGATGCGGCTTAGGAGGGTCCCAGGAGGCAAAATGTAAGTGCAGGGCTGTCCTCAGACAGTGCGGGGCGCGCAGTAAGCGCTGGGTGGGCGCACAGTGATGGGGGCAGGGCCCTCTCATCGGAGCGCTGTGCTGGACACACTGAGGTGTGACTCGAGTGAGGCCGTCTAAAGCGGAGACGGTTACTTTCTCCGCAGACAGAAATGTGTCTCTCTGACAAACCATGTTCTTGGAAATCATATTCCCAAGAAATAAAATTCTCTAACGTTCTAACTTACAGGATTACATTCCTGCCCATGTTAAATTCTTTGTCATTTATAAAGGTGTTGTCTTTCTGTCCTTGAGTGACAGGATAGTTAATTAAAAGAATAAGCAGGACTAGAGATGGAAGTGTTCAATACAATGATTTGGTCTAGTTTATTTTACACGAAAATGTCTAATCTCCTGCAGTATAATTGGTGTAGATTTTGATAGAAAATGCTTACACTTTCCGTAAATCATTCTGGAGCAGAGGAAGGGTATTCTGTTGTCATTGCCTTTTTTCAGCAGTTGCACAGCTGGGCCCGGGGCATTGCACGCTTAGCTCTCCCTGGATGACAGAGGCTGGGCTCCCGCCCGATGCCGCTGCTTTTCCCAAGTCGGGCCTTCCACAGCCAGGCTCCCTCCCCAGGCTCCCTCCCCGGGCTTCCCATGTGGCTGCCTCCGAGTCCGACTGGTTGTAGACACGTGGTGCCATTTCCGTATCTAAGTCAGATCTGTGTCCCGAAGGGTCTGCGTTGTTAATTTAATCCACTCATCAGGCTCTTACTGAGTCGCTGTTATACCCATAGCCCAGACATAAAAAGCATGCTGGGTATTGAGGGACATCCTGAAAGTGAGGAACGTGATCTATGCTGTCAAATTGTAAGTCCCTAATGTAACGAGAGGGGGGAAATGCTGTATATGGAGCCCAGACACCTATCAGATATGTCATTTTAAGCAAATCCTCTAATCTTTTTTAATTTAATTTTCTCATCTGTAAAATAGGGATAGAAATCATTGAAAGATTGTTACATGGATTAAAATCAGATCTTATATGTGAAGGTGCTTTGAAAACCCTGAAAATGCTGTAAGATTAATGTCTTTATCGTGGTCATTTTTTATCAGAAACTGCGTATACATAGAACTATAAATGCCTGTAAAAGCCGGTACCCGGTCGGGTGTCAGAGTGCGCCCTGCTGGACGGCGTTAAGTAGGGAGAGGTGGACATGTGTGAGAAAACTGGAAACCAGCCAATGATGTGCTGAGATTCTGAACTTGAGATGAGATTCTGAGCTTGAGATGAGATGACTTGGAGGACTAGTTAAGATTCGGGTAAACAGGAGATAGACTAACTTGAGCAGGAGACTAACTTGAACAGTATGGTGGAGGTTAAAAACAAACCTATCTTTCCCTAGAAAAGGTAAAGAGACTGATGGGAAATACACTCATAGTTTGAGTACTCCAGTATAAATGTTACTTTTAAAATGTACATTTTAAAAGTCTTTCACAAAGTTTTTAGTATATTCACGAAGTTGTGCCTGATTTCGGAACATTTTCATCACCCACAAAGAAACCCGTATCCGTCAGCAGTGGCTCCCCAGTCCCTCTTCCCCCAGTGCTTCACTCCTGTCCTTCCGATTGCCTTCACCACAGCATGTACAGTGTTAATTATACGCTAATTTTCTTTGTGGCAAGAACTTGAGTTGCAAGAACCTCGAGGACAAGAAGTTTGTCTTCTTTTTTCCTTTTAATTTCGTGCAGTGCCTACATGATTATACTCAGGGCACATGAGTTATAAATTAAACCCACACTGAATAAATGTGTAGGTTCGTTTCGTCATGTTCCATATGAAAGAACCACTTTCGTCGTTCTAATACAAGTTTAATAAAAGTAGAAGACCTGGATCCTGCACTCAGACCAAATAAAGCTTTTCTTTTTTGGTTTCATTTTTAAGTGTTCAGAGCCACATTTTCTGCCAGGAGTTGAGCCTATAACTTTAAAAACCACAAAAGATTGGTGTTTTTGTTGTTGTCGCCGTTGTTGTTCCTTATCTGAAAGCCTTTTTAGTATTTACCTTAACATACCATATAAAGAAGTTCCATTCCAGAATTCTAAGATAACAGAGTTAGTGGTTTCTAGAGATTGAAGCTTAGGCAATAAATACGTCCTCACAAGTGTTTCTCTCAAGTATTTTTATCACAAAGCTCAATCTGATGTTTTTGTTGTTGTTCTTATTGTTGCTGTTTTTACAGCTAAAGCAAAACTTCAAGAAAATCTTTAAAGTTGTTTGGTACAGATTTTATAGCATCATTTCTCAGTAAAGAAATAACGGCTCATCTATTGACCACTGAAACTGACTCAAATTTTAGATTACTGATTCAAAAGATTCTAAATGAAGAATCAATGGTATTTACATCCTATAACAACAACAAAAAAGAAATAATCCATTAAATCAGATTTCCCTTCTCTGCTTCGAAAAAGCTACATTTACGTTGTAACCCTTGCCAAGTATATTGAAGTGCCTATGGAATTTTTTTCTTTTCTTTTTTTTTTAGGATTTTACTCATTTACTTTTAGAGAGAGGGAAAGGGGGAAAGAAAAAAAGGGAGAGAAACATCGATGTGTTGTTGCCCCTAGCACCCCCCCTACTGGGGCTCTGGTCCACAACCCAGGTATGCGTCCTGACTGGGAGTCGAACCAGCGACCACTTGGTTCGCAGGCCAGCACTCAATCCACTGAGCCACACCAGCCAGGGCCAAATGCCTGTGGAATTTCTTATGCTTGATATTGCAGTTGCTTTTCATCTAAGTTGTGCCTATTTGTTCGTCTGTTAAATGCTTCCTGAGCACCTGCTGTGTGCCAGCAACGCACAGGTAAGTGCAGGCTGCCCCGCCCAGAAGGTGCTCCCGGTCTCACGGAGGAGAAGAACGAGTCGGCCTTTCTCTTTTTAAATACGTTGTGAGGTAAAGTGCGTTCCGCACTACACCATTGGTTATAAATGCATTATGTTATGAATTAAAATACTCTTCAGGACGACATCTTGATGTTGGTTTAAAATACAGTACTAGAATGAGCACTGTTGCCAAAACAACTTTCAACGCACATTTTAGTTAACATTGACTGTATTTATACCTGGGAGTCGCTTAAATAAGTTTGCATGAACTTGAAGAAAATAAAAGTAATTTTTTTAAAGAGTGCTACATACATGTTCAGAACATAATTTAGAATTAACTTTTGCCCTGGTGGCTCAGTTGGTTTAGAGCATGACCCAGATGCACCAAGGTTGTGGGTTTGATCCCCAGTCAGGGCATATCCAGGAATCAACCAATGAATGCATAAATAAGTGGAACAACAAGGTGATGTTTCTCTCTCTCTCTAAAAAAAAAAATCAATGTAAAAATATTAACATTTTGCCCCTTTTTGTCCTCTTCAGGATTATTATATTATGCGGGACATGGTTATGAAAACTTTGGAAACAGCTTTATGGTCCCTGTTGATGCTCCAAATCCATATAGGTCTGAAAATTGTCTGTGTGTGCAAAATATACTGAAATTGATGCAAGAAAAAGAAACCGGACTCAACGTGTTCCTGTTGGATATGTGTAGGAAAAGGTAAACCGCTTCATCTTCAGTCGGTGACGCTGGTCAGAGTTAAATGTCAGCCTTGGCAAATTACGTGTAGGGCAAACCTGCAAATGCCAAGATTAAGTCTGTGAATTGTGTGGATTAAACCTGATTAAGAAGAAAAGCAGAGGAAAATAGATTTTTCTGTATGTGTGATGAATTTGTTTTAGCTATTTCCCGTTTGCTATGGAACAAAAGTAAGGAACCGAACTCACACTACGAGACATGCCGCTCCCCAGACGCCTCCATCCACCGCTTTACTGGTCTCTCCACAAGGGCACAGCAACAGCCCCTGAGCGGTGGGGCCTCTGGTCCCTCCGGCCAGTCCTGCTCGTGCGGATACGGAAAGCGAACCTGACCCGGTCCCCACTTGTTCACGCCCCTGTGTTAGTTACAAGGGAATGGAACCAACGATTATTCCTCTCAGATTGACAGTTTTTGCTTGTTCAGCACTTACTAACCAAAATTCGATGCCAGGGTTCACACGTAACTCCAGGGTTAATGCCGATGAGGAAAAAGCGGTGTCTGTCCACACTCTCAGCACTGGGGATGCCCGGGATTCCTTCCGGAAAATATGCGGGTCAGGGGCGTCAAGCTCACGTTCACCGGGGGCCACATCAGCCTCACGCTTGCCTTCAAAGGGCCAAATGTAATTTCAACTCCTTAACAGTTAAAGAGTAGTTACATTTATATAGTCCTAAAATTATTTTGGCCCTTCGAAGGCAACCGGGATACTGATGTGGCCCCCGGTGAAAATGAGTTTGACATCCCTGAAGTAGGTGATTTGATAAAGGAATTTTGAATCCACAATTTTAAATTACATATGAGAGAACAGTGTTATATCATATTTTATTACATTATTACTTGTGCTCTTTTTTAGAAATGTTTTCTAACTCTCTCTGTTTATATCCGGCTTTCGCCCCTCCTACCTTTGAAATAACTAGAAATGACTACGATGATACCATCCCGATCTTGGATGCACTGAAGGTCACTGCCAACATCGTGTTTGGATATGCCACGTGAGAAGCTTTCTTTTAACGCTCGCCTGAGGATAAGTTTCTGTTGGTTTTAGAAATAGAGGAAGCTGGGGAGAGGGGAGGTGGAGGGAGAGAAACATTGATATGAGAGAGAAACAGTGATCGGTTGCCTCCTGTAAGTGCCCCAACTGGGGATCGAACCCACAGCCCAGGTGTGTATGTGCCCTGCCCAGGGTTGAACCCGCGACCTTTTTTGGTGCACGGGGTGACACTTCAGTCCACTGAGACACCTGGCCAGGGCAGAAACTTCTGTGTATATGTTCACAACCTTTTAATCTTCATTAATTTTTCATTGTAGTTGAAAAGTCTAGAAATATCCATGGACATGTAGGTATTCATTTGCCTCCTTTATAATCTTGATAGCACATTTTAAATAATTGACACATATCATGGCATCTTTTAAAAAAAATTTTTTTTAAAGATTGTATTTATTTACTTTTAGAAAGAGGGGAAGAGAGGGAGAGAAACATCAGTGTGTGGTTGCCGCTCATGCGCCCCCACTGGAGGGGCCCGGCCCACAACCCAGGCATGGGCCCTGACTGGGAATCAAACCAGTGACCCTTTGGTTCACAGCCCACATTCAATCCACTGAGCTATACCAGCCAAAGGCTGCACCTTGTTTTTACTAAGCACCAAAGCACATCATTCCTGTGTGAAGATGAACTCTTTAATTAAGATATCCCACAGAGGCGGGCAAGCAGAGGAATCTCGTCAGTACTTACAGAAGCCCCATGTGGCAAATATTAGCTTTTAGAATTATTTTTCTTTTTGCTGTTTTTAAGGTGTCAAGGAGCAGAAGCTTTTGAAATCCAGCATTCTGGGTTGGCAAATGGAATCTTCATGAAATTTCTAAAAGATAGATTATTAGAAGACAAGAAAATTACCGTGTTACTGGATGAAGTTGCAGAAGGTAAAGAGAAAGCTATTCAGGGTTCTCTGTGTGGTAATTATTTTATTCCTACCATTGTGCAGGTTTGGAATTGATACTGTATAAAACAGTTTTTAACAGTGTTCAGCAACACTGCTCTTTAGTTCCTTCCCTCCTGATTCAGCGGCAAGAACCTGTGCAGCGTTACTTGAACTGCAGGGCCGACCCAGACACAATGTGACCGGCGGAGCCCTGCCCCGTGTGTCTGGGCCTGCTCCCTGCTGCGGCCCCGTCTGCTTGTCTGCAAAAAGTTACTTAACCAGCCTTCACTCTCAGGGCCAGGCAGACGAAACCTGACAGAAATTTGGAGGCCCTGGTGGAAAAAAACTGGGTTCGCTTTTTTCTCAATGAGCTTAGTGGTTTTAAATTTTTGCTCTAAGGATGTGACCCTAGAGGTCTGATACCACATCTTCCATTTCCTGCCGGCCCCGCAGGCTGCTCTGCTGGGTCAGGGACTGAATGGGCAGCAGCACAGACGTGTGTGGTTTGAAATACCATTGTAGAAGCCATCTCAAAAAGAAGGCAGTTCTTTTGCCAGCGAGTTCCTGGTGTTCCACCCACAGGTGTTCCAAAAACGGCAGTTTGAGAATCAGGTGTCTGAGGGTTTCACTAGCAGCTGTTGCCCACGCTGTTCGTCGTCATGCTGTTGCCAAAGCAGGTCTCCCAGCTGGGTCACAAGCCGCCTTCCCCTGGCGCAGAGACAGCTGGGCTGTCCTGGCCTCCTGCAGCCAGAGTGGTTCTGCTTTTACCTGCCGTACAGATTGGGCTTCTAGTTTAGCTCTTGTTTGAAGAAAAGTTTCTGCTGCTTTAAGAAAGCAGTTGGAGCCTTTGGACTGTGTTGGTTCTTTTCAAACCGAGGTCTGCAGAGGCGCCTCAGAGACCCAAGAGGTGGTGTCCTAGTGCTGCAGTGTGAATGTGATTGAACTGTTTCTAAAACTCAGTGGAAAGCTCCAGTTCACCCACAGGCGACAGACACTGAGCATGCGCACAGCGTACCTAACGCTCGGGCGCACGCCGCTCACCAGTCCTGCACGGCGGCATGCGTGGGAGTGCACACAGCACGTCGGGTGGTGGTCTGGACAGGCGGCGGCGGGGCCGTAACCCTGCCAGTGGTTTTAACACTTGATTTCCCTTTTAGAAAATAAAGAAATCTGTGGTAAAGACAGGATACTTGAACTTTCTCAGAGAGGTAGAGTGCTGTCTGCTCACTGAATCAGTTTCTCAGCTGAGCGTGGACATAGTGTCGCCGTGCCTGCCGTCGGTGGAGAAATGCACTTTCCAGCTCTTTGTGAATCCAGGCTGAGGGTCTCGAGGATTCGTTGTGAGAATTGGAGAAGATAAAAGCTAGAGAGGGGCCCTTAGAAGTGAGCTGGTTCAGCACTTTTCTATCTGTTTGCCCCCTGCCGTATTCCTAGCACAGGAAACCATGCCTGACACGTTTAGGTGCTTAGTAACTGTTTGTTGAGTGAATAAGTGATACTGGGACTGTAACCTGATTCATAGGAGAGTTCTTGGCCTGAGCATTTTAAGTGGGAAAGGATTATGGTCAAAAATAATGTTGACTTCTTGTCTTGTAGATATGGGTAAATGTCATCTCACCAAAGGCAAGCAGGCTCTGGAGATCCGAAGTAGCTTATCGGAGAAGAGAGCGCTGACCGACCCCATTCAAGGAACAGCGCATTCCGCCGAGTCCCTGGTGCGGAACCTGCAGTGGGCCAAGGCGCACGGTACACTCAGCCTGCTTTTCGTGAGCGCTCAGTGCTGTGCTTGTATTAGATGTCGGAGTGTCTTCCTCCTGAGGACGCAGCTCTCCTCCCAGTTTTGCAGTGAAAATATTTTAGCCTAGTGGGCAAACACAAGTCTACACAAATGTTTCAGTTAGAGGTATTACACTGATTCAGTAGATGTTGGAAGTGGTAAATTATTAAACTCCTTTTTACCACTAGTGAAATTAAAATGTGATCATTTAAAAATGATTTTCAGTTTATCTAATGTACAGTCCTTTAGATTGTCCTGTATGTGGGCTGTTAAATGTTCTGTTTTAAAGATCAGACAGGCTGGGTTCGGCAGGGTGAGCATGCCACCTGCAAAGCGGGAGGAGAGGCAGCGGGACAGGCCTGTGGGCTCGGCTGAGTCGCACCTGCACAGCGGCAGCGCGGCGGCACGAACCGCTCTGCCCAGAAGTAAACTATTCACTGAAATAAAGATTTTGGATTTTCTGTGAGTCCCAAATATCTGTGCTGTGAATTCCTCATTATGGATAATTGAAATTAATTGTTTTTGTTGAACTCTTATATATTTTCGATAATACATGAAAAGCTATCTTTTGAAACATTAATATGTTAAAGCGCATTAAAATATAAAATGCCATAAATATATTATCTTGGCATTCTAGATCATTGGACAAATAATTAAAATTGATTATTTTTCCTTTAAAAAAATCTCTAATCAGCAGTAACAAAATCGCAGCAGTAAAGATCAACAGCAAACAAAACCCTTCTGTAAAATGAAAGTGAACAGTCACATAGAAAGTATTCGTAACAAATTTTATAAGTAGATAATTTTTTATAATAAAGAACTCATGCTAAATAGTAAACAAAACATTAACCCCTTAATAATCAAAGGATGTAAATTCAATAATTCACACAGTTGAGAATTTATTAATAATTAAGAAACAAATATTAGAAAATGGCAAAGTAAAATAGTAATCAAGGAAAAGAAAATGAAATCTGTGAAGGCATAGGTTTTTTTAACCCCATCAAACAGGTAAACTTTTTGAAAGTTAATATCACCTTGTGGAACTGTTGCAGAAAAACTGGGGGAGTTAGTCTGTGTAAGTGGAGAGCTGTTGTAATTGTGAGAAACCATCGGGCGGCCATGTCCAACAGTCCCGAAGCCCTAAGTGTATATAAGAAATACTGCCTATGATAGGAAACCAGTGAAACCCAGAAAGGTCAGATTCAGCAGCAGCGTAACTGTGAAAGGTGTGACAAACCGTGAGTGGTGTTACACTTTATCAAAAACCATTTTCATGAAAATTGTGGCAACAGGAAAAATGCGTTTGCAATTATATGTATACTTTCGATTGCCACTATGAAAATTATATACATGGAGGGGTAAGAATGTCAAGGAAACAGTAAATGAAAGGTTTTTATTCGCTTGAACAACAAATTTTGGGCTTTTATTTTCTCTTTTTTTAGATGGGTTCCTAGAACACCCACCCAGTGGGGGAAGCCTGTACTACATACAATAATTCCGCATTTTATTGGGTCCCCCTTTATATGTTACTTATATAACATTTTTAAGCAAAAGTAACTGTATTTTGCCCTATAAAAAATGCTTGTTCGCTATTTGCCATCAGCAAAGTTCACTCTTTAAATTACTTATAACTTATTTTTATTGTTCTGTCTCAGAACTTCCGGAAAGTATGTGTCTGAAGTTTCAGTGCGGCGTTCAGATTCAGTTAGGGTTTGCAGCGGAGTTTTCCAACGTCATGATAATCTACACCAGCATCGTCCACAAGCCACCCGACATAATAATGTGCGACGCCTATGTCACTGACTTTCCGCTCGTAAGTCTCGCCCTGTTTTAATGTAAAGTCTAATGACGCATCCCCACTTACTGAAAACTAAATTTTGGAAGACCCGAAGTTGTTGGTAAATATAAAAGAAATATGTGTATATATATATAACATATATAAATAGTTATGTGTGTTTTAGTAACAGTGGTCATGTTATTTGAAAGCTAATTGCCACCATACTTTAAATTTGTTAAATTTAGAAATGTCTAGAGTTCACTCAGGAATTTCCCATACCCTCAACAGGGTATCAAATGTGAAGGAATAAAATGTTATGCTAATCGTATGTGAAGAATAATTAACATTTAAAAACTGTTAATTCCAATATGAGTTATTACAGTAGTCTTTTTTGTCAAGTTATGATAGAACAGAAATCTAGTTCTGTTCTTTCCAAACACCTAGACATGATTTTTTGTGTGTTGGCCAAAAGGAGCCCGTGGACATTGCTGCTCTTTCCTGCATGGGTGTGGGGCGTTGAGAAGGAAGCAAGGAGCAAGACAAATCTGAAAGATCATCTATGCTACTGATAAAGCCTGTGGGGAGGACGTTACTTAGTGTGAGAACAAGTGGCGCAGCACTGAACACCAGAGTCAGGTCTCCCCGGCCTCCCTGGGCGCTGGGCAGTGCGGAGCCGGGCTTCTCTCTGGGGGTGGGCAGAGCGGGTCTGCTCTTGGCCAGGTTGGCTCCACAAGAAGGAAGAAAGAAGGGCTGCCTTTGGCGTGTCCACTTACTCTTCCTAAATAGAGAAGTCACATAGATCCTTCTGCACCTTCCCAAAAGTGGTAAATGAGGAAGGAGAGAATCCAGGAGTCACTGCACGGAGCTCGCAATTGAACAGAATCTTGAGTAGGTTAAGAAGTGTTTCTAGGGGTAGTTCGAAAGTAACTGTCCTTTCAGAGCTAACTTTGTAAATATTCCATCACAGAATTTAAAATTCCTATTATTACTAGAATGTAGTTTTCATGGTTACTTTAGTCCTGGATAAATGATTATTTAGGCCAATATTCATGAGAGAACAAGACCTGTTAAAATGTCTTAGTGTCATGGATGATGCTGTGACTTCCACTGATTTCATTAACAATGTCGATTGATTTTCACAGGATCTAGATATTGATCCGAAAGATGCAAATAAAGGGACACCTGAAGAGACTGGCAGCTACTTAGTATCGAAGGAGCTTCCCAAGCATTGCCTGTACACTAGACTCAGCTCGCTGCAGAAGCTAAAGGTCACTCCTTTTCCCATTCATAACCAATGGGCGACTTGGTGAAAGTGAAAATTTACTTTGGCATGTGAACCTTGTACTGGGATGTGCTGCTTCACTGAGTGTGCAATCGAAGTAGAGATGAGTGACCTCCAGCGAATCTTAGCAGTGACCCTTTTCCTGTTAGATTCTGTTTCTGACACCGTCCGGAGGGTTTGAGCATGAAAGTTTATGTGATTACCCTTCATTTTGTTGAAAAGTTAGAGACAGGGTGTGGTCCGCTTTTAATTATCTCGGCATCTTCACATAATCGTTTCCTAGTTCTATGACTTTCTACAAAACAAATAGCAAATTAGAATTGGTAATTATTTGATCTTTTTTTTTAAAATTTCCTGCTAACGTACAAAGCAGAAACGACCTCTACACGATTGAGCTTTCTCATGAAAGCGTATCCTTGCCAGCCTGCGTTTTTAGTTGAGGTACAGCTGCATGAGCACAGAATGCGTCAGCTGAAACCTGGGGAGTGGAGTGGGCACTGTGGGCAGCTGCGGGGGGACGGCAGGCATAGACCTTGGTCGCCCTGGTCATAGCTGGTCTGCAGTCTCCTCTTACCTTTGGACATCAGCCCATTTTCTGATTCAGTTATACCACCTGTGATTGCGGATTTTTACCACACAGTATTTTAAAAACTGCTAATGTTTTGACTTGGGCATAAGCCGGATTTCTGTTTCGTTAAAGGGTCATTCCCAGTCTCTAGTAGTGAGGAAGGGAGAGTTTCTGAAGCCCCGCCACTTGGAAAACACCTTCCACCCTTCGTCAAGAGTGTAATGCCAGACCTCTGTGATCTTGACCACTTCCGATAATAAGAACTAGAATTATATTAATGCAAAGTATTGATTGAGGGAGGAGGAAGACGATGACAGCCGGCCTTTCTCAGGACAGGGAAGGTGGCGGGGGTGTTCAGCTTTTTGGCGTCTCTGGGCCACACTGGAAGAATTGTCGTCTCAGGGCACACAATACAGACTCCTAATGTTTTAGGTAAATTTACGACATTGTGTTGGGCCACCTCCGTAGCCATCCTGGGCTGCATGGGGCCCACAGGCCAGGGGCTGGACATCCCCAGTGCTGCGAAGGCGGCCTTGAGCTTTGCACCTGGAAAAGGAGAATGCTGGCGGACGTTTGTGCGGTTTGTTTCTTTCTGTGCTTGTCGGTGGTACTTTAGGACCGATGAACTTCCACGGTTGGTAAAAGTAACAAGCCGTTTTCCTTTTCAGGAACAGCTCATCTTCACGGTGTGTTTGTCGTACCAGTACTCGGGGCTGGAAGACACCGTGGAGGAGAAGCAGGAGGTGAACGTGGGGAAGCCTCTCATCGCCAAGCTAGACATGCACCGGGGCTCGGGGAGGAACACCCGCTTCCAGACCTGCGTCATGTGCAGCGGCCCCCACCAGGGCCCCGCGTCCCCCCCGGCCGGACTGCTGCACCCCGCCCAGGACTCCTTCCTGGGCATCTACCGTTCGCATCTCGGGAATGCCAGCAGTGTCACGCCGTCAGACAGTTGTCACTGCAGCCGGACTGCGGGTGCTTTTATGTCCGGTCACCACACACACCGCTACTCGTCTCAGTTTGGGGGAAGTAACGTGCCGGTCGAGACGACCGATGAAATACCGTTCAGCTTCTCCGACGGGCTCAGGATTTCTGAAAAGTGATCTCCTTGCTTTCGAGAGTTATAACTGCTAGATGCCTCTGATGCAACAGCACCTGTAGAAGGTGAGGTCTTGTGACAAACCACGTGTGTGTATGTAGAGAAAGGAAATAACAGCCATTCCGTGGCGGGCGAGGTCAGGACTCTGAGACTGTGGAATTACATTATTTAATCACAGACTTCCTTGTCGTCCTTTCTCAAGATTTTTTGGGGACTGGCTGATTGGTTCTATGAGAGAGAGGTGTAGATGTGGGTATGTTCATCTGTGTATAAAAAAGTATTTTCATTTTGACCACTCTGCAGTGAGAACACTGGGAATGGCATTACTGCAGAATAAATCCTTGTATCTTTAGAACCAGAAAAAGGATCTGTGTGATTGGGCTTAACCAGAGTTTATCAGGAGAGCAACACACCGAGGCGTCGTGTTTAAGTGGGACCCAGCACCTCGGCCCCCAGGTTTCCAGCCCCAGGTTCTTCCACGGCACCGCCTTCCTGACGGGATCTCAGGTGTGTGAGGCATCGCGTGTGCAGATGGGGTTAAAGACAGCGTGGAAACATACACATTGTACGTAAACCGGACATGCACAGGCTTTAGTTTGTGATTATAGGGCTTGGCTACAAATGTCAGTTAAGAGGTTCGGATGTAAACTTCATGTAGAACACGTTGGAGTCTTTCAGTCTAAGGTCAAGAAAGCACATGAGTGGTGAGAGTGTGTGTCTCTGTGAAAGGGGGACAGCGGGATGAGGGGATGACGGTGCCACTGGGAAAGCCCTGGCATCTGCCTGGCAGATCTCACGGACACTGGACGTGTCTTCCTTGGTGACATGTGCCTTCTCATTGCATTTGACTCGCCTTGGGAGATAATCTCATCACCTTTCTTTTTAAACTTGTTCTACCGAAAAGCAGGTTTAAAGGGCAGCTGTCAATAACAAAGAAGAAATTGCATTTGTAGTGGTAAAACATTCCACGAGGGAATTCTCAGGCGCAGATGGCTTCCCTGCTGTGTTCCACCAAACGTTTGAAGATTAACACCAGTCCTTTGCCCACGCTCACCCGCAGCAGAAGACGGGAGAACACTTCCAGCTCCTCTGCCAAGGCCCGTGTTGCACTGACGTGGAACCAGAGACTTCACAAACTACAGACCAGCGTGTATGAGTACAGATTTAAAAATCATCAGCAAAGTACTAGCAAACTGCATCTAGCAACGTGTAAAAAGGATTATACACAGAGACCAAGTGAGATTCATCCCAGGGTTGCAAGGTCAGTTCCAAGAATCAGTTCAAATGATTCTCGTTCACAACAGGCATATGCTATAAAGTCACTGATAATACTGAATTAGAGAGTATGCGGCCATACCCCCCGGGGAAGTGTGCCAGAGTTGGAATCGAACCTGTCCAGCGGCCCCAGAGCCTCTCCCACAGCACTGCCCTGTCCCTGCCCACTCCGTCCTCTGGTCGTCTCCGAGGGAGAGTGGGAATGAGAAGGAATCGGCTCGTTTGACTTCAGCTGAGAGCGCGTGAATCGGGGAACTCCGCATCCTCACTGGTCTGCGCACATCTGCGAATGATCATGAAAGTGCCCCAAGTACTGACTTTGGGATCACAAGTTGGCAGATTCACAAAGTCAGAATCATGAATGATGACTGACTGTACCATGTTCATAAAGGACAGGATGATCATATGATTGTCTTAATAGATGCAGGAAAAGCATCGGATAAAATTCAGCACCATTCATAATAACAGTGCTCAACAGCTGGGAATGAAAAGGAATGTCGAAATAACGAGGGCATCTGTGAAAAACCTGCAGAAACCTCACACTTCATGGCAATGGACTGACTGCTGAGCGCTTTCCTCCGAAGGTCTGGAAGGACAAACCGTGTTCTCTCATACCACCTCCTCTCAGCATCGCACCGGAGGTCCCAGCCGCAGTAGTTAGGCAAGAGAAGAATAAAAGGCAACCATGGCGGAAAAGAAAACCATACGTATTTCAAATGACGTGTCTCAGTATCTCACTGTGTAGAAAGTCCTAAGGAATTCATTTAAAAACTAATGATTTCAACAGGATATAGAATAGGTACAAGATCAATATAGAAAAATCAGTTGGGTTTTTTTTTTTATGAATGACAACTTTATTGTTTACGCTTAAAAGCTGATGAAAAACCCTGATGAATTCTATTAAAGAAAATACAACATCTCAAGGAGAAACTACAGGTAACTACTACTCAAATACTAACGAGGTTTTCTAAAACACAACTGGAAAACATCCAGCACGCATGTTGAACTTCAGTACAGTGGACTCGACCAACCATACATGTTACATCAGAGCTAGTTTACAAGTCGTCATAGTCATCGACCTCGTCATGTTTTCAACGCATTTGGTGGTTCACTGGCAGTATTTTTGTGATGACACCACATTAGTGGTAGTAAGAATGTTTTTGGACCCAGTTAATGATGGATTAATCAATACATTCTGACTGCTGATGTTGCAAGAACAGCACTTGCACAGCTGGGGACTGCAGAGTGGGCATTTGCTCTGTAAACCTTTGCCCTGTGAGGGGCGTTGGAGCCCTTGCTGGAGGGGCCAGTGGGCCAAGTCCAGGGGTACTTGGTCTGCTAGTGACTGAACTAACAACCACAAAACTGTCACTCTTCCCACAGAAGTAGATGCCTTTGTATGTAAAGAATCAAGTCGATAATTTGGAGCAGTCAAGCTGTATGTATCAGGTGGCAATCTAGGGCCTGAATGTTGCTTGATCAGTTGCAAAAGGATTTGATTTCTTTGCCTTGCAATATCTAATTAAAAACCTCCAAGCCCTGGCTGGTGTAGCTCAGTGGATTGAGCACAGGCCTGCGAACCAGAGGATTGTGCTTCGATTCCCAGTCAGGGCACATGTCCGGGTTGCAGGCAGGTTCCCTGCAGGCCTGTTCCCAGCAGGGGATGCATGAAAGGCAACCATACGTGGTCGTTTCTCTCCCTCTCTCCTTCCACTCTAAAGATAAATAAATAAAATCTAAAAAAAACCCTCTTGGGGGGAGAGAGGTAAGGGACTGGTCAGCACGACATTGGGTTGCTATTCGTACATCCACAGTAGCTGTCTTAGCGTGGCTTGAACAAACTTCTGCATCATCTAGAGTTGTGGTCACGTACTGGAAGGGAAGCTCCAACGTCTGGCTTATCATTCTTCGCTCGTATTCTGTCATGCCCTTGGCCTTCAGGATTTCTGCCATCTCCCACGCATCTGTTGGCTTTCTCTTGGGCGAAGCCATCCTGCCAGACTCCGTGATGTCCAGGGACCAGGCTTCTCGAGCTAAATCACCCACATTAATGTGTCTCAGTCCTGATCTTGGGGCATCTTCGTCTCGCGCGGTCTTTCCGGCCCCTGGGGTGCTGGGGAGCAGGAGGTTGGGAAACACCGTGGTCCCCAATGCAATGACCCTCCAGTGTGATTTCTGTACTAGCGATGAGCATTCTGAAATGGAGATTTTCAATAAATTCTATTTACAGTAGCATCACGATGAAGGAAACAACAAAATACATTTGAAAGAAATGAAGACCTAAATAAATGAGAGGACAGCTTTGTTCATGGGTTGGAAGCCAACATTGTTAAGGTGGCAGCATTGCCCAGATCACTGCAGAGTCGGTGCACTTCCTGTCCAAATCCCAGCTGGGTTTTTTTGTTTTGTTTTGTTTTGTTTTGTTTTAGGAATTAACTAGATGATGATAAATTTCATATAGAAATGCAAGGGACCCATAGCCAAAACAATTTTGAAAAAGTACAAAGTTGAAAGACACTAACCAATTTCAAAACTTACTACAAAGCTACAGTAATCACAACAGCATGGTACTGCCATAAGGATAGACGTGTACATCAAGGGAATGTAAAATACAGCTCAGAGTTTAGAAATAAACCTGTACGTTTATGAACTGACTTTTTGATAAGGGTACCAATACCGTTCAGTGGAGAGAGAGTTGCCTTTTCCACAGATAGTCCTAGGAAAACTGCATAACCATGTGCTGAAGCACCTGACCTTCCACCACATACAAATGTTCACTCAAATGCATCACACACCTAATTAGAGGAGCTGAGACTATAAAACTGTTACAAGAAAACAGAGAAGTGCATCTCTGTGACCTTGGGCTAAGCAGTGGTTTCTTGGACACGACACCAAAAACACAAGCAACAAAGGAAAAAATTGGACTCCTTCAAAATCAACTTCAGTGCTTTCAAGAATGCTGTCAGGAAAGTGAAAAGAGCCCTGGCTGGTGTGGCTCAGTGGATTGAGCCTGCCAACCAAAGGACCATGGGTTCAATTCCCAGTTAAGGCATGTGCCTGCCTTGTCCCTGGTTTGGGGTATGTGAGAAGCAACCAGTCGATGTATCTCTCACACATGGATGCTTCTCTCTCTCCTCCTCCCTTCCCATCTCTCTAAAAATAAATAAAAATCTTTTTTTAAAAGTGAAAGTGAGAAGACAAGCCACAGAATGGGAACAATTTTTTGAAAATCATACCTGATAAGGGACTTGTATCCATAGTATATGAAGAATTTTTATGATAAGACATAACACACACACATACATATATGTCGTGCTTAATTACAGCTGTTGCAGAGCAGTAGCCTGTGACTTGTCCCTGGCTGTGGTGACAGCAATGTCCTGTGTCTGCACTCGGATGGGTGGCCTCCAACACCATGTGGTAATTGAGCAACTGAAATGTAGCAAAGTGAGGAACTCAATTTTTATTCTTCTAGTTTTAGTTTAGCCACATCCAGCCAGTGGCTTCTGTGCTTTGCTGCCATGGAAAGTGGGGCTAGAAGGTAGGATAAAGGGACTTTTACTCCTCACTTTAGACTTCTCTGTATATTTGAATTTTTAAACTAAGCCTGTATCTGCCCTGGCTGGTGTGGCTCAGTGGGTTGAGTGCTGGCCACTGAACCAAAGGGTCACCAGTTCAGTTCCCAGTCAGGGCACATGCCTGGGTTGTGGGTTAGATCCCTAGTTGGGGGTGCATGAGAGGCAACCACACATTGATGCTTCTCTCTTTTCCCTCCCTTCTCTCTAAAACTAAACAAAATATTTTAAAAAGTAAACAAGCATGCATCTATCATTTTTAAACATTTTTAGATAACTAAACGGATGGTGCAGTTTTTGTCTTTTCAACCGGCCATTGCTTTTCTTTTACTTGAATCTCTTCCGCCAGTTGCTTTGTAATATTAGCCTAGGACTTGTACTTTGGTGGAATTTAGTAAAGGTGACCTTTCAATACTAATTATAATATGAGAAATTGATTATAGGAAAGGCTCACTTAAAACCCAAGCTAGTATTTTATTCTCTAGACAATAAGAGTTACAAAGCAGCATTATAAGTCATGTGTTTTTCAATAAAAGAAAACTATCAATACATGCGATCATAGAAATACTATCTATCTGGAGGTGAGCAGGTAAAAGCATGCCCCTAAGAGAGAGTGTGTAGAGAATGTCAACACAGACTAACGCAGGAAGGTGCGTTTGCACGGCTGCTTGTTCTGCCGTCTCCAACGTTCATTCCTTCCCAGGTCACTGGCTTGCACATGAATCAACAGCGAGGTGGTGGTCTCTTCACTAACCCAAGTGTCCTGACTTGTCAGACTCAAGAAAATCCAATCACGTAGCCACCGCTCTGATAACTGATACTGATACCCAGGCGGACGCAAGTTTCGGATCCCGGGGAGAGCTGACTTTTTAAGTACTTTTTTAAAAGATTTTATTTACTTAGTTTTAGAGAGGGAGGAAGGAAGGGAGAGAAACAGAAACACTGATGTGCAAGAGAGAAACATTTATTGGTTGCCTCTCCTGTGCCCCCTACTGGGGACCTGGCCTGCAACCCAGGCATGTGCCCCGACTGGGAATCGAACCAGCAGCCTTTCACTGCAGGTCAGCACTCAGTCCACTGAGCCACACCTGCCAGACCAGGTTTTTAAAATACTTTCATAAGGGTTTTTTTTTTAAACAAAAGGACTAATAAATTTTGTTGTTTTTTTTTTATGGTATTTGAATAGTCCCCCAGTGTTTATATACTACCATTGCTTTAACTGTCACTTGACGCTAGACTCTCGGAAATTACACATCACCTTTTTGCATTTTACCCTGTATACCTAGTACCTAGTTGGACATTGTGGATCTTACTCAGACCTGACTGAAATACATTTTTAATACCTTCCCTTGAATTATATGATGAAGTTCTCATAATGATATAATATTAGTAAAGAAAAATACACCCAGAACGTGAGGATATTTCTATAAACATATGTGATTTTTTTTTTTCCCAACCTGACAGCGTTAACTGTATTTCGGCCTCAGGCACAAAGTTTGGCTCCTAAGGAAGCGGTGGGGTTGTGTTCACTCCTGCACCCATGCTCCCTTGGGGGAGCGTTCCCTCCTGCCTCTGCTGTGTCAGTAGAAGGGGTGGTCCATCCGCGTTATCCAGGCTCAGGGTGTAAATGTTTGTGCAAAAGAAGGAAAGCAAGCTTTTGGGGTGGGTGCGCCGCTTTCTATAAACTCGGTACAAGGCTTTCACACTCAGGGTCTCGTTCACACTCCGCCTTGCATGTAGAGATGAAGAAACCAAGTGCAAGGCCACCCCCAGATGTGAATCCGCCCTGGAGGGCCCAGCTGGCGAGTGGCAGAGACGGGAAGACTGCAGCCAGGACGGAGCCCGTCACTCCCACGGCGCTGCTGCTGCTGCTGCGTGTTAGCCGATCCAACACGGAAGACACACAGTGGCGGCGGCTGAGTAACAAATGCTGCACCAACTCACCAGTGGGGTGGCACTGAAGGCTTGTCCCACGTGGACTTGTAAATATTGGGTCTAAGAGAGAAATCTTTGAATGATATTTGCAGGAAACCATCCTGCTGTGGAAACAGGAGTGATGGCATCTTGAATTTAATAGCACGGTCTTGGTGTTCCTCCAACAGCAGAACAAGAGCCAACAGTGGTTTTCAGCGGCGTTAGTGTGCGAGCAGCATGGCTTAATATTTCATCCTAAGTACACGAAAAACGTTCTTAAATATTGAAACATGAGTCTTAAAGGAGAAAGTAATTTAGCACCTCTAAGTGTGGAGGTCACAGACCGTGCCCCAAAACTTTCCAAAGGCCTGCGTTCCCCTGAAATCAGCAACATGGTCTGTAGCCGTGTTGTAGAACACCCAGCAGAGCTCTGACAGGGAAAGCTCTTAAAACTATTTTTAAGTATTTTCGTAAGCTTTAGTTTCACCACTTTCGTCTTTGTATAGAGTGGTCATCACTGTATTGCAAAGACTTATGTCTTCCCTAGAGACTGATCATTTATAACAATAAATGCCTCTGTGTGCATCTGTCCCCCTGACTGGCAGACTCGGTGTGGATGTTATCATCCGACCTCACTGGCCTGTACTCTGTGCCCAGGTTGGACAAGTGGCTTGGTCTCCCTTCCCAACTTCCTGTTGTAACAATGGACCCCACAGCAGAGTCCGGTGGTTTTCAAACTGTACAGGGTAACTTCTCTCTGGAAGGGGCATGGGGCCCCTTGCCTCCGTTTCATCCTGCGCAGCTCTGCTTCTCGCTGTTTACAGACCGCCCGTGCCAGTCCACTCTGGTTTGCGTAGAAAGTGTCTCAGCCAGGAACCAGGGTCTTTCCTCTCACCAGACACCACCAGTGCTCAGAGTCCTCCCTCACACCCACTGCCGTCCCCACACCAGCTGGGGACTCCGGGCAGACTGCAACTAAGAAGGAAGGGGAGGAAAAATGCCCACTGAGCTGGGAGGGCTTCCAGTCTCCCTGTTGAAAGGAAGGGTCCCACAAGCCAGTCCATCTGGGCCGCTGATTACCAGTCAAGGCCAAATGAGCAGGTACTGACCAGCAGTGCTGGCCAAAGCCTCAAACTTTCCCCTCAAATCCTCTTTGTCATTCAAGATGGTGCTGCCTGACACCCTGCCCTATGAATCAGTTATTGCTAACTAGGTGTTAACGTTCTTAATCCCCAGTTTTACACTTCAGCGCCACCTGACCTATGGTGGCCATGGGAGGTGTTTGGTTTCTAGGCGTGGGGTGGCCTGGACACCAGCCGCCAAGGCAAAGGGTGCTTGTTGGGGAAGGCTAGGTGGGCAGCACTCTGGGTCAGCTGGCCCATCCACACACTCCCTGGACGCCCAGCTGTGCAGGCAGCCAGCTCCCAGTCAAAGGTGGTTTTGTGAGCAGGGTAGGGACGAGGGGAGGCACCCGGATCAGCGCAGTGGGCATGAGCCGGGCCGTGCGGGGCTCTGTATTTCATGCTGGCTTTCGTGATCACCCTCTTGGCAATTGGTGGACTCTGAAAGAGGTCAGACAGGGGCATGGCCGCATCGCGTTAATGCCTGGAAATTGTCTAGATCAGGTGGGCATGGCCCGGAGGCAGGAGAGCTCCAGAGACCCTCTCGTTGATGGGGACTGACCAGGGGCAGAACTCTGTTATAAAGGAGTCAGGGGCATGTGGCCATGGAGCAAAGACAAGCCCAGGACAGACAACCCCAGGGAGGCGAGGGGCCAGACCCCTACCCTGGGGACAGCTGAAGCTTACCTTGCCCCTGGGGGAGAGAGCACAGTCCTGGCTATCGGGAATGGCTCAGTATTAATGGTGCCAGCCTGCACTCACACAGAGGAGGGCTCAGACCAGTGAGAGGGCCTAAGGCCCCGAGCAGGCGTGTCCTGTGGGGATTCGAGGCCCCCCGTTCAGGGCTTGCTCTCTCAGGCCCTGGGCCTGCTCTTGCTCTGGCGCCAGGCCTCCCTGGGGCTTTCCCTCTGGCCGAGTTCTGGGGACGCTATGAACCGGCATCCCCAGCAGAGGGCAGCACAGGCTTGAGTTGGTCCTCAGCTCTCAAGCAGATTTGCAGGTTCTGAAGTTTCTGTGGGAAAATGTACGGAGGAGGCAATTTTGTGTCTTTACAACCTGGGGCTTCCACTCACACTGAAGGCCTGCCCATCCAGCCTGCGACTGAATGCAAAGACAGGGAGAGGGTGGGGGCCCCAGGAGGGCCGGGAGCTGAGGACCACCTACGGAAAGGCTGCCGGTGCAGCAGTGGGCGGGAGGCAGCCAGGCTCAGCCAAGCCGCGAGCCAGCCCTGCGAGTGGTCGTCCCTGTCCCCTGTCCTCTCACCGCAGCGAACCTGGCACCAAACAGCATAGAGGAACAGGGATGAGCGCCCCAACTGCTGGCCGTGGGCGTGGCCAGGACCCTCTTGGAGGTTCTGGATGCCACCTCCCGTCTCAACTCCCCGGAAGGAGGCGAGACTCCCCTCCCTTTGAACGGAGCTGACTTGGGGATTTCACAAGCCTGAAGGCATTCGGAACCAGTCTTCTCTGCTGAGAACGCTTCCCTCAAGCCCGGTTCTCTAAGAAGCAGAAGGAAATGCTGACGTTGTGGTATGTGGCTCCCTTTCTGGGCTCCACGTTCGAACTCAAAGTCAGAAACGCTCTTATTGGAGACAATCACAGAGAACCGCCTACGCTCTGGTTGCCAGAAATTCATTTTCCTTTGTCCACCACGCTGCGGCCCAGGCTCTCTCCCCAAGGGCATCTCCTGCCTGTTGACCGTGCAGCTGGACTTCGAAGGGCTTTCCTAGCTCTGGAGGAAAGAATGCGTGCTGCTCCAAGGCCTCAACCCGCGCCTAGCCCAGGAGAGTCCCAGGACTGCTGCCCCCAGTGCGGGGACACAGGCGTGCCGCTGCCGTCCACACACTTCAGACCCGCAATGGGCCGCGGAGTCAGAGAGACTGACCTCACGGGAAGATGTCCGTCAGGCAGAAGTTCCTCCCCGAGGCGTCCCAGGGTGGGGGGCGGGATGATGGCCCCCAAAGCACCCACATCCTAATCCCCGGAACCTGGGAAGGTTACCTTCCCTGGCGAAGGGGTTCTGGCAGGTGTGGTGAACAGTCTCAGGTGGGGGGTTATCTCGGATTGTCTGTGTGGTGGATCAATGCCATCGCAAGGGTCCTTATGGCTGGAATATCAGGGGAGCTAGAGAGAAAAGCGGGGGGACAAGACGCGGTGGCAGAATCAGGGGTTGCAGGGACACTGTGCAGCCACACACCCAGGAACAGAGGCGGCCCGTGGAAGCTGGAGAGGCGAGGAAATGGGCGGCCCCCCGGCACCCCCACAGCCCACTGGGGTTCCTCCCAGCACCCGCTCCACGTCCTCCCCTTCAGAGTCTCCTGACCTGAACCTGATTTCAGCCATAGTCACA